AAGATGCCTATATTTTTGGATCATTCACATCTATAAAGTTTGGGAATTTATTTGTACCGTCAATTTTTTTAACTTGTCCATATAGAAATATCTCATGCAAAAGATAATAGTATCTCTTATGATTTTACCACGCAAGAGGTAATTGCTAGCAGGATTGCCGTAAATATTTTTAAAAGTTACTTCAGTATAAATAACTGCAATAATTCCAAATTACAGGTCTGGTGTACTGTAAAAGTAAAATCATAAAGATACTATTATTTTGAAACTGGAAACTATGCTGTGAATTTTTGATGTTTCCAAATGTTGTTTGGTACGTTTTTTACATGGCTACTTTCCTTTAACAATCACTATAAACAAAGATAATTTTGCCATAATCACTGAAATGTGAGTCCATTCTCCTGCAGTACTTGAATATTTGTTTATCACTTTATCAGTATATTTATTGCACATGATATAGTTCTTCACAAGACATTGTAGTGTAATAGACATGATGACTACATTTAAATAGTTGATTACGACCTTCAACTTAGTTGACCCAACCATCAACCGTTGGTGTTTATTTTCCCTGCCTTTCCCTTTCAACCCGAATAAACGGTCTGCTGTGACCTTTTAAAATTAGACCTTGAACTCTAAGAGAAAGGTTTGACTCTTGAACTTTGCACGTGTCTCGTTATCGTATTCCTTAGCTCGTATTCATTTGATTAACTTTTCACTGCCGCCTTATCATTCTCTGTTTCTATTCCTTTCAGAATGATTAATACATATTATACATATATCTAGAATAACTTTTGTAAATTCGGTTTAGGCTCTTCAACTTGACATTTTCAAACAATATAGAGTAAATGGCGGTGGGATCGTTTTCACGGAAAGCGAATTCATCAGTTCCCATCAGCATGCATATTGTTTGATTGACTTTTTGAAAAGGTAAATGTCGGTTGGATCAGTTATGTTTATTGGGCAAGAAATAATCTAAAATAGTATATGAAGGGATGAGTTGTTTAAGTTGCGTAATGAAATGAGTTATTAATATCAAAGGTAAAATTTTTGTTGTCCCTTTAATGAATGATAGACAAATATTTTATGAGGCTAATCAAGAAATGATGTTTATATGTGTTTGTTTGCTGCGTAATCTGTTTACTTTGTGATGGATGACAAAAGTTTGCGCTCCACATCTGTGCTGTCCAATATTCAAAGCAGTTGTTTGAATGATTCTCTAAATGTCATACACCGTTTTGTGTCTCACTTCTGCTCGTACTACTACATTCATATCCAATTTTTCTTATGAAGATATTTTTTTATCGTTTTCTAAGCAGAAAAAGAAAGAACAGCGTCATTTCGCTATGATAATTTTTCTGATATTTTTACGCAATGTAATTTCTTTCTAGCAAGATCCAATATAGCTACCAGTTACTTAAATTCCTCTTTGCACTTTCTCTCACATCTTCAAATATCAACTTTTTCCTGAAATGAATGAATTGCTGAAATTTTTATCAGCCATAATACTTACCTTTGAAGATATTTCTTTCACTCTTATCTTATTTAAATGTAAACATGAAGCGCATTTGTCAAATGTAAACAATATGTGTAGGCACGCTGCAAGAGTTTAACACTCAGCAGACTCAGAAAAGTCAACGAATGTGAAAATTTTGAAATCTTTATAGAAAAAAATTATATTTGTTAGAATTAAAACTTTAAACAGTGATGGGTTTCCTTGTTACCCAATTTTAGTATCACTGTTTATGGCCATTTATTCATTTCAAAACAAAAAAAGATAAAATTTGTGTTTCCTAGCAACGCCATTTGTTGCTAATCAAAACATATGCACAGAGATTTTTCTTCAGCTTTTGTCATTTAGTTACATCACTAATTTCTACAAAATTTTCGTTGAAGAACTTGAAGAACCGCATTAGTGCAGTTCTTGAAAACGAAAATTTTAAAAGATATTTTCAGATACTTCCATTTTATAAAATCACAATTTTTAGTTCAATATTTAAGACCACAGACAGATATGTTGGTTATTAAATTCTGTTCATTACTCACCTATTCAAAGCGATTGCAGAGCAATTTCACCACCATTGAAATGATGTAAATTGCTAACTTGATCTTTAATATCTTAAAAATATAAATATTTAATAATCATTAATTACTGTTAATATTTATTTGTTACCAATTACTCAATTTAGTCAAGCTTAATGATCTTGAATACTTCATAGTCTCATCGTAAAATAATCCTGTTTGTTCTTTAGTCAACGCGATATAATTGTTTCAGCAAGATACTATTTCAACAATTTGAAAATACTAGAATAACTTGAATAATGTGAAGATAATGCTTGCCTTAGCCACTTAAGGAAAAATATTTTGATACTATTTCTATCTTCTTCCAATTAATTCTTCCATCTAAAACTAAGCTGTATTAAAACATGTTTACAATGAACAATAAAGAGATTTAAGTATGCATCGCAATAACAAAATTCATCTTGAGAATGTCAGCAGCCTATACTGTTTACAGGTTGTTGGCCAGTCATATATATTTTTGTGATCGAAAGCTCAGTGACCTGACTGGTGACAAATATTTAGGGTCAAAAGCACACTGACCTTATTGCCAATTAACTTTTATTTTTGTCCAGTCTTTGCCGCATGTTCCGAGCAGATAGATCGTTCCATGACCTTTTCTTACCTTACTCTAGTGGTCGTTTCTTAAATATTGTTTGCCTGTGACAGTGCTCATTCATCAAACATCTTTATTTATTGCACATATCTTTCAATAACTAATGAACGTCCGTAAAAGAAACTGAACAGCAGAGCAAAAATTTTGTGACAACCACTGACTTTGTACACTAAGCATTTCTTTAACTAACTAGGACTTCTTCACATATTAGAATGAGATCAACATCAATTGAATATCTCTTGTATGTCAGTCATTAATTTGTTCAAGCAACAACAGATTGAAAGTGATATGCACATCCAAGGTCAAACTACTATAGTCACTGTTGCACTCATTCAATGACCTTAAAGTTCACGATTCTGATCCCCTTAATCAGTAGCATCAGAGGAAACAAGGTTACGAGGCGGATCTGACCTTTTCAATAAAAGATCATATCAGAACTTCATTCTTACCTTTCATTATCATTCTTCGCCAGTCTCTTTAGTATAAAGTTCATTTACTAGCTATTAGCTCTGCTTAATTTGTAGAAACAGATATACATGATATTGAAGTTCTTTGAATAAAATAGAAATTGTTAAATTTGATATCAACTCATTGTAAGTCTCTACGAATTTTTTTTCGACAAAATTTTAGACTATTCTGATCTTTCGATAAAGGTCAGTTTAGATATGTAATGTAGGGACATTCCAGATGATATTAACGGGTACAGGGCTGAGATAATTTTATTTATAAATGTGCAGAGATGAAAAGGAATGGAAAAGAGCACCGATAAAATGAGAGTAGTAATGTTTGTGGAGTGAGGTAAATGGGGTGACTGGTACGAGCGGTACTAAGGGGAGTATGGTTGTTCGGTCAAGGGTCAAGCTGGTCTTTTCTGTCCCGTGCTCCCTCATGTTCGCCCTTTACTAATACTGACGGAGGAACTTTTGAAACAACCGAAATGACTTTTTTTTTTTTAAGTAACCACAAATCTCTCAGTACTTTTACCTACATATTCATTTTTATACATATTTTATTTCTTGAAACACTTATTCTATATAACACCTGCCTTTCATTGCCTGTTACTAAATTATGAATTAGGAAATAGAATTAGTGACATTTAACTAACACTTTGGTATTTAATATTTACAAAAGATGACTACAATCAAATTCAATATTAGGCTATTTACTAACTACTATATGCATATAAGCCTCCCTCTACTACTCATTTTTCAATTACTACTAAGATATCTGGCACTATTTGTTCAGTAACTATTAAAGGTTAATTACTGTTTAGTATTCTTTATAAAGAAAGAGAAAGTTGTTTGTAAAGAGAATGGAAAAAATAGTAGCAAAATTAGAATGAGAGCTAACTTTTCCTCAGAACAAATATTACAACGATCGGTTATTTAAATACAATAAAACAAAGTAATGTGGAGTTACATCAGACATACTACTATGCTTGAAACGGTCACTGAGTTAACGGCTTAAGGTTAAATCAGCGCTAGCGAAAAGTGATAAGGAATGGAAAAAAAATTAGCTATCATAAAACATTCTAAATTTAGTACCTTTTAAATTCAGAACAAGAAACAAGTGTAAATTTGTGCAAAGGTCAAAGACCATATATATGCTTCGCAAAATCATTTTTACAGTTTCAAGTAATAAAAAGTTATTTAGCAAAATTTTCAGTCTTTTCAAAATATTGAAAATAGAGAATAAATTAAGCAAGTCGATTTTTAATAGTGACAGAATCGATTGCAAATAATCTGTATGTACATGTAGATCGTTTTAGTTTGTGATTTTGGCACAAATAAATTCACGTAGATTTTATGGAATTTTGTATTTACAGCAAAATTGTTTCGCAAAAATATGAAAACCTTCAGTATCAGAAAAAATAACTCTGAAATTGTTCTTTGTCTGGAATTAATAACCTCTCTTCGCAAGTCGGCCAAAAACTTTTGTTGTTAGGTAGGCTCGGGAAAACTTAGGTACCATTTAACATTTGATGACCATCGATGTGTAGGAGTTGAATTCGTTAAAGAGAAAAATTCAAAATATGATTTGGTCCTTCTTAATGACATTCTAATACATATGCAATCTAACATTTCATAGAACAGCTGTATTGCGTTCGCTTTATATTGGATCATTTCACTTTGTTTCCACTGTTTCTTTCCATTTTTCTATATCTCCAGCTCATGTAAGAGCCAAGAAAAGGTATTTTTCATAGTTTTTAGTTAATTATTTTGTAAGAATAAAAGCTAGCTATTAGTTATGAGTAATAAACGACGTCAACATGAAGAACATGTTTTCATTTCTTTCAAGTCTTGAATTGAAATTTACGATAAAATGATTCCAGACCCTTGGCGGAATTCCAGCAGTGAATTCATCAAACACAGAGTCGTTACCATCACCGACAACTTCGTCACCGTCACGGAGTTCTGAACCAACGACTGTTGATTCTGTTGCCCCTGTTGGTGTCCTTGGACCTTACCAAAAGGTAGGCAACAAATAGTAATAAATATGTAGTACTTGTAAAAATATGGTCATTTGTATGTATTGCGAACTGTTTCAGCTACAACCGCACACTTGTGAGTTAAATTAGATGAATACTTCAGAGCGGAAGTACAATAGAAGCAAGTGCATTTAGTGTAAGGACAAGTAGTGGCAGTGGTGTAGATCGGCTGCACCCGTCGATCAGTGTCCCGATCGCCGCTGCCTTCAATCCACTTCTGAATCCAGCCTTGATGGCCGCTCAAATTGGTTTGCTCAGCACACCCAACACTCTTCTCTCTATGATGCAGGTTCTTTTCTTCACTGTCTTAAATCATTGCAATGCATTGTCAGCTGAAAGTTCCTAAGCTACAACTACGGCTCGTCACTCGCTTGTCTCCTTATGATGCACCTGGTTTTCATTCTTTATAGTTTAACCGCTAGTTTATTTTCGAGTTAAACAGTTCTCAAAAAAGGAACGCATTCGAACGTTACTCTAGCTTCTATAACTTACTTATCTGGAATATCAGCATACTTCTTTGATAACTGAAATATAAAAGTAAAAGCGATCGTTTATGTTTATTATCTCTAAATCTGCTTGTAACCAATCATAGTATTATAAATCATTTTATGCAATCTTCAGACTGCACAAGTAAAGACTAAGATCTGAACACCAGTTTGCATGCAGTTTCTGGAATTTATGAAATTTAGGCAGCTGCTGCTCAAAATTCGTTAATGCATCAGAACCGCTGCGGTGACAAAAATGGTCAAATGGTTCCAACGATGCTACACCAGTTGTCAGCACTTCATGGCAATCAGGTCTCTCATTCTAGCTCCACTTTCATCGAGAAAAGTTTGAATGATAATATTACACACCTTTGGGACTTTTTTTTGCGCATAATGTAACCTCAGATGTCGAGATTATATTCGTGCTGCTTACTCTGTGTCTTAATCTTTTTTAAAGTCAACACGAGATCTTTGAAGATAGGGTACATTGGTTTGACCACTAAATAAAATGTGCTGTTGCTTCCTATGATGACGTTGTCAACTCAACACTTTCTTGTGTTTTAGAAAAGAATAAACTAACAATGCCTGTAGTATGCTAACGACTGTACGCTTGAAGGGTAGGGGAAATAAACTTTGCGATGCATCATTGAGGTAAAAATCGGATCATTTGCGGCCATCATCATCGATGAGGGATCAAGGCCAGCATTTGGAGGGGAGTAGTGTCTAACAATCTCTTACATCATATATCCTTCCACCTCTGCGTTCTTTCTGTGAAAGAAGAAAAGTTCAGTCAGTAATTATAGCAATCTTGTCTATTGACCGAGCTAGCATTCACACTAACCATGCTCAACTTCTACATATTGAAATTTAGACTCACTTTCGCATCATTCTTTGCTGCTCGACATTACTGCAACTACTTTCCTGACAGCCTCAAGAACCGAATTTGCAATATTTAGTTCTCTATCTCTTCCTTTTGTTCTATATTCACTTCCTCATCTTTCACATTCAAAAGCTCTTTCCGACTTTTCTTAAATCAGGAGTGTTGGCATATTTGTAATTGATTCTTTCAAAATAATACTTAAAGCTCTTAAATTTTTTCATAAACACATTTCCACATTCATCTACTACTCTTTCTAATTTGTCAGTTCTAGATTTCAAACATGGATTAATCATCTGTGATTAAAATAACAATAGCAACTTAGTGAATCAGCCTTATGTCAGCCAAATCTTTGACTCGCAAGAGTTCACACACGTGTTATGAATAAAAGCATATCTATTTGCATTCACTAATTTTTATTTCGAAATTTGCATGATTCAGTTTGTGGCAGCAATACTTTGGTATCAGCATTATATACTCCATTATCTTTATTGCCATAGGTTTCTTGTGTTATTATTTCTAGAGCAACTTTCCATGTCCCAAGCCGATGTTTCCTTCTTTACTACTATGGTGAGTTGTAGTCGCATCTACGTATGAGTGAGTTTGAGTTCTAAACTTGATAGTTATGAATAGAGAAACAGAACACACTTAAAATACTATTAGATGATTTGTATGCAAAAGCAGGTGCAGTTGTGCAATTATTCAATACAATCTTTTCATTAGTTTTTAGATACTGTAAGTAATGGGAGAATTGCGTCAGATAAATGAATGGATCAATATCTGCTGAGATAGCTAAGAAATTGGAGCATGCTGAAACAGATATTTGCATCCATCTCTGTAGGCTTTTTATTAAAATAGTGTGTTGCATAATAAAAGTGGTTGAACAGTACACGTGAACTTCATGTTACTATTTAGATCATACATGATAAAAGGTAAATTAGTATTGAAATTATTCATTGTACATTCTCTGCTATTGTCAAAACCGTTCGGTCTGGTTTTTGCGCTCTGTCGTTTACAAGCATATACGAACTGAAGCCTAAAAAAATGTCGGAACGTAAGGTTAGTTCGAAAAGTTGATACATTTGATATATATATATATATCAAATGGCTTTTTATAGTTATGAAAAAATATATATTTATTTATATATGAACTCAAGACAAGTTCCATTAGTTTCGTGTAACCAGTAGCATGTCAAAATAATATCGCTAGTAAATTTGTTTCAAGCGCGATTTACCATAAACGTTATCACTTTGCATGACCTGTGATAGATTGGGTTCAAAGGTCAAATGTGGCATTCACATGACAATCGAGGAGAAAAAGAGTAAGGGAAGAAGAGAGCGTTACCTTGGTCAGCCATTCGGACAAACGATTGGAGAGCAAAAGTTGTATTGAGTGCCTGCTGCTGCTTTCTTCTTGTGCATTTTGGAAACATTTCTTAATGCGGTAGAGGCAGAGTTGAGTGGAGTTCATTGCATTCAAGTTAGGATAAGTTACTCTGATGCAAGCACACGTGCTTTTCGCTGAAGTTTGGAAGTCAGTCAGCAAGTAAGAGTGAGCAGTTTGTATTTCACTTGTTCTCATAAGCAAAGACAGGTGACTTGTCTCTGTCACCTCTGAACTATACTGAGAGAACTGAATGAGGCGAGTTCGTACTACAGCTAAAACCATTGATGTTAAGGTATATATAGGTTTTCAGTTCTGGATGACATTTAAAGCTGCATGAGCATTTTACAGCTTGAGAAGATACTTCAGTTAGATAAATGAAAGGATAAAAGAATATGATATGAAAATCAGAAGTTATGCAAAATATATGGAATCGTAGTAGTAAGTAGTTGTTGGTTGCGATCGCTAGGGTCATAGACCTCAATTTTGAATACAGAGTGAGTGAGTGTGACGAGGTCATTCGGGGTTCCTTGCTGCCATGGGGTGGTGGTGATTTTCATACATTTGAGGTTGAAGACAGGCGCTGAACTGTACCAATTGCCCCTTGAACCTTCTCTCTATACTACTATTCTTTTATCGACCTACTTATCACTATTCCTCCTTTGCTCTTTGAACATTTGCTGCTACTACTGCTGCTTGATACAACGGACAAAGTTTCATCCAGCTGTATACTGCTTTTTATTGTAGTTCATTCTCTCTTAATTTTATCCTCATCTCATTTTATCCATGATAACTATCTGATTATAGTATTTCATGTGTCAGCAGCAAGTTTATCTCCTGCATGCTACGCTCATCACTACTTCCACCATTATTAACACTACTGCAACTATCACTTCTGCTGTTATCATTCCTATTACCGCCTTATTTGACCGTTATTCAGCTAGTAGTATCACTTGCAAGGTATACACTATCATTAACTCTGTTTTAGTGTAATTACCAGCTAAGCATTGCTTTAACAGTGCAGTACAGAAAGTTCTCGTCGGATTATCACCGCATATGGACCGAATTTAATCCTATGTTTATGAAGTAGTGTTTACGCAACCTAGCAAAATGTTGAGTACACAAGCATTATATAGTAATTCTATATAGCTTTCATCAAGGACCATTTTTTCCTCGTTACATTTATGAGTTGGACATTTTTATCATGTGATGAGTATAAAATTTGAAATATTTTCTATAGCTAATAATAGTACATGCAGAAGGATTTGACAAATTTATTTCTTTTCATGTATCCCTGATAATCAGAAAAATTAGATAATAAAATCAAACTTAAGGAAAATTTCACTATTATTACTGAAAATAGTCTTTTCAAGTAAAAGATAGATATGTGCTATTGTTAGTTACAATTTATTTCCGTGCTGCTTCTTCATTCTCTATTAACTTGGAAGAATAAAAGAGAATGACAGCGACGCATATATAATTTTGATGTGTTTTGTGTATAGTGCTGTTCGAAAAGGAGGGATGTAATGAATGCCTTAGCTAATCGTCAAATTTGGCATCAGTTTAGAAAAAGGATTCGAAGTGTGACGCTGGAATTCATCAGTTACAATAGAAGTTGCCTGCAGCATAAATAGTACTATATGCCTAAAGCTTATTGAACTCTTCACGTAAACATGAAATGTATAATATTGAAGTAATACACTGAAGAAGTAGCGACAGAAACACGTATTATGATGGCAAAAGACTGTCTGAAACATATTGTGACTGTCAAGTATGGGCAATAGTTTAACTTACGATTTCCAAGACTGATCTGTGGATGGATGAAAATTTAGTCTATTTCCTCCTTTTGTCAGTGTACACGTCCTTCCGTCCGTTCCATGTGCACAATCACTTCATCTAAATGGCACGTGTGTGTGCGCGTGCATTTGTGGGAAAAAGAGGCGTGATATTATTGTTAGTGGAAGGAATGCAAAGAGCAGCGAGCGGTAAAGTATGGTTGCAGTACGTCAAATAGCCTACATGTACGCATAGGTTCATCGATTAGGGTGTTTGTCAAGCTGCTAAAGAAATGCTTTCCTTTGCTACTAACTGCTAGCGCATCTCTGTAACCATCCCAAAGCTTGTAACTGTTGCTATTTACTAAACATTGTCATCGTCCAGTCTTTTCACTGCCACACTTCACTGCTGCACTTCATCATTTGGGCTGTGGAGCGCCAAGGGTGAGAACATGCTTGCGAGACATGCTCTGTGTGTGCAAATTTCAATTCTGTTTTCTTTTACCATATTCAATGTTACTTCCTGCTTCGAAATGTATGTGCCAGCTAATGTGTAATTAATAACATTGTGAACACATGACGGACGTCAATCAGTGCTGTTGATGATAAGTAATAAACAATTGATCAAGTTGAGAATGTTAATCAATATCGCAGGACATATATTGCTGGTTGGTTGGTTAGTCGACATGAGGGAGTACTGAGAGTGAGGGACAGGTAGGTGAGGAATCAGGGAGTCAGAGTAAGTGATGCTATCTGCCAGCGCGGTCGCAATATCTATCAGCTTAGGGTTTATTTGTCCACCTTCATCATTGCCATACACTTACGTTCACATAAAATTACGCTTACAGACATGCGTTCAAACAATTATTGTACTGACGCTTACGTAACACGTCAGGTCAAGTATTATATTACTGAGTACTTATTACAAATGCAAATATTAGACCTGCTTTATTACTGTATGCGCATTACAATTAATTGCATCACAGTTAATTAGGTTGCAGTGTAAGGCATTATTAAGCAGTTGCTGTTATTGTTACTGATTGTGCAACGGAAGGCTCTCTTTTCTGCCGTCCCATCTTTTCTCTTCCCTCTATTTTTCTACCCCTCGTATGATTGAAATGACAGCCATATTCAAGAGTTGTTGACAGCCGATTATTGATTTCGATTGACCTTTTGTCCAACTTTTGTGACACTGAGTCAAGAAAGTATGCAAATTGCGATCGAATAACTTCCGTAATCGTCTTAGATAGAGAAATTAGTGAGCGGTCGTTTCCTAACGGAGTCTTAACTCATTAATCATTATTTGAGATGGGCGTTTTGCTCATTCTGCTTCGTTAGTGATAATCAGTTTGAATTTCACTATTGAACTGTGTATTCATTATATCTGTATTGAATATCTGAGCACTTAAAGTTTTTCAGTTAATGGCAGCCGCAGCGTCGGTACATCACCATTCCGCCGCGGCTGCTGGTAGCGTATCAAGGGGTGGAAACGCATCCTCACCCCACTGCACCACCAGTACGTCAACAATAGTTCGGGATATCTGTATCGAGTTGTGCGTCGTTTGTGGCGATAAGGCATCTGGAAGGCATTATGGCGCTGTGAGCTGTGAAGGTTGCAAAGGATTCTTCAAAAGGAGTATCCGAAAACAGGTCGACTTTCATTTCCCCAATTGTCCGGGATATTTCATTATTTCTTTCTATGATTTTCATCTCTACCTTGTAGGGTACTACTTTTACCTTTTTGCAAGAAAATCAGAAAGCTTTTTTGCATTTGATTGAACCACTCTTTACTCATCAATATTTTCTCCTCTTTCTTGCATGTTTTATGGATATAAGTAAATAAGTATAGAGAACCAGCGTTATATTGATGTACGCTCATTCTTAATTACTTATTCAAATTAGAACTGTATCAAGATTGAACCAAAAAGGTCTAATATGACTTTCATTACGCATATAAATGACGAGTACGTAGAAATATAAAAGAAAAAACTATGTGAGTACTTCTCTATGTTATACTTCCACATTTTTTTCTCATTATCTTTGTTAACATAGCATTAATCCATTTGTAGTTAGACGAACTAACGATTTTTGATAAGATGTTTTCAGATAGGTTATGTATGTCGTGGAACGAAAGACTGCCCAGTCACGAAGTTCCATCGCAATCGATGCCAATATTGCCGTTTGCGAAAGTGTCTCACAATGGGAATGCGAAGCGAGTGTAATTATTTTAATACACTTCAGTCTAAGGAAATATTTTATGGATAATAGTTTTTATAATCTAATATTTATTCCAAAAATTAGATGATGCGAAGTTTGTTTCAGGATAAGTGACGAATAAGGAAACTGATGTGTATCCTAACTTTTTATACTTCACGATTTCTTAGCCAGAATATATCGTTCTAATTTTTGTAGTTACTGTATTTAATAGGGTTCTCTCTTTTTAAAATCAGTTGTGTAATCATGATATGACATTAGTTTCTTCAAATAGTTCTGTTATTTGAAGCGGTTCAAGCAGAAAGACGTCCTGTTGGTTCCGCATCTAATAGCGATGCAGCACCAACAATGGTTGCAACAACTTCGGCTTCACACAGGTCTGATGTCACCCAGGTTAGTTCTTGCTGAATGATCAATCCTATTTTTAGCTGTTTTTAATTCTTGTTACTGTAGCTTACTGTGTGTCTTGATTTGACAAAGTTTTGGTAAACAGTCGATTTGCTAAAACTCGCACTGACGATATTTCTGCTTGCAGACACCTCCGATTGTAAAGCATGAAAGTGCTTTTATGAATGGTTTGCTCGCAATAGTGAGGAACGAAGTTGCAAATACTGAGGTATTTCACAAATATAAAGTATATTCGCAGTAAGAGATGTGTGGGTATTGTTCGAGAGTGCACCGTATTCTCTTAGTTCTGAAATTTTCTAAGCAGTAGCAATTTAGAAGTTTTCCACTGCAGATGCTTTCTGATGCGTATTCCGATTTGCAGTTAAAACAAGAATCAGGGGAAATGAAATGTTCTGAAGCACTGGATATACCACATACAAGTCCACTATCCATAATTCATCGATCTTCTGTTAGTCCTGAGCCTCAGTCATCAGTAATTAATGAGGTTGGTTCGGTGGCTTTTTTTTTGCTAGTTTTCGAAACTAATTTGTCACTTCAAGTAATTTTTTGTCGATTTGAAAAGTTTCGTCATTAGATGTTATTGGGAACCCTTTTTTCTAATTAATTTCTTATCAAAGTGTAAACTGGCCTTGGTCATATTTTGCTTTTTGTTTAGGATAAATACGGTAAAGAGGATGAGGAAAATACAGTATCAGCTCTTTTGCGTCCACCTTTATCAGCATCTCCTTCCTCAAGTGGTGCAAGTTCATTACTTGAAGATACCTGCTTACTGAATTCTGAGGTTTTCATTTAAATTCATAAATATGTGTGTATATATCTATTCCTTATGAAGTCATATCCCATTTCATGTCACAAAAAATTGAAAGAGAATATCATCTTGAAAAATCATATCAGATCATTCACGTTATTTTGAGCAATATTTTTTCAATTTTCGGACTTTTCATTATGGCTCTCTTGTTGTCTTTTAAGAATCGCACTGCTCTTCATTACATAAATTTTTAGCGTGCGAAATTCGAGTTATCAGTGCCACAGCCAATGCCTAATGAATTAAATATACAGTTTATATGTGAAACCGCCTCAAGATTGCTGTTTTTATCTGTTCACTGGATGAAGAGTTTTAAAGCTATCAGTTCAAAGTAAGTACCATGAAATTGTCACATCACAATTGCGCCACAGTTATTTACAGCTCTGTACTACATCTTCTACTCAAGTCGTAGCCTTAATCTGTTTGTTTTCATTGAAATTTACAGAAACGAAGACAAACAAAAAATGGACCAATAAAAGGTGCAAATTGTTTTTGTAAATATTTGTTATCTTAAAATATTTAATTCAAGTGAAATGTTACACAATTTATAAAATCACGATATATTTTGGTTGGTGCATGAGCAACTTATTGCTATTATTCATTCTCCATCTCTTTTATAAATTCAACGCACTAGATCAGGCTTTCCTCAGTTAGATTAAGTATTCATTGGTTTATCAGAATGAAGTGGTACTTGATTTGGTAATTGGATTAAATATGTGACATTCTCTCTAGTAAATGTCTCAGATATCTCCTTTGAAATTATATGAAACAGAATATCTTGTACAGATATCACTATTGAATCTGTGATTGAAATTTGAATGAATTTAGCAAACATACATTTGAGCTACTTTATTGTAATTATGGTTTAGTTTCTGCATTATTTCTGTGCATTTTTTGATGTTCATATCTATATTCAAGTTTGTTGTTCCCTTGTAACAACGTAAGATAATTGTTGCTAAAAGCACTTTGTGCTAATTAATAATTTTGCTTATACAAATTACGTATTTGCTGTAACCAAATTTACTGCATCATCGTCGTAATTGAATACCCTCACGATATTCATTAATATGGTTTTGTTGCTGTTTCTAGTTTATGGCACTTGTTTTAAGCTTATAGAAACTAGAAACTGTGGTTGATTTTAGATATGGTTGTATTTGAAGCGAGATTTTTTCACAAATAAGAAGAGCGCATATTGATTGCAAGGATAGTAACTTAATTTCTTGTTTCAGCCCAGACTGTCTTGAGCAGTTGATGAAATTAAAATGGTGTGATCTATTCATACTTGGTTTAATGCAGTGCTCAAATCAGTTTTGTCTTCCAAGTATGCTAGCTGCTATGAGCACTCATTTAAGTGCTTGTTCACGGATAGGTAATTTTATTGTCCTTGTTGTTAAATTAAAAAGTGAACATTGAGAGGCCATTTCACCATTTGTTGGTTTTTCTTGATACAGGTAATTATTTTAGGACAACTCAAAGCAGAACGGTTTGAAGAGGTTAATGAGCAGATTAGTTATTTATTCAAGCTTGTGCAACGGTTCGAGGAGTTAAAGTTGTCACCTATGGAGTTCGGATATTTGAAATTAATCTCCTTTACAGCAAATGGTTTGTTTTTGAATAAACCATGAGTAACTTAATATATACATTGAGTGTATATACTGGAACTTTTTATTGGTCGAGTCATATTTAAAAATGATTGGGCGCTAAAAACTTTCGAAGAATGAAAAAGAAAGAAATGATTTTTGAGTTTGTTTCTTGCAGATCTCCCTGGTTCTTCGACGGACACAAATGTGAAAGCAGTGCATGTACAAGCACTACAAGAACTATACGACCACATATTATCATTAAATGCATCGAACTGTGAAGATAGCGCTTCAGAAAATGACAATACTTCTGGAACTGTGGCAAATTTAACGATGTATAATGCAGTCGAACGTTACAGCCATTTGCTATTACTATTGCCAACGATGCGGTGGTTCAAGCAGACAGTACTTGTAGAATTATTTTTCTCAGGTCTCATTGGCAGCTTATCAATCGAGACTGTCATGCCATTTATTTTAGCGATGAATGTCATGAACGTCTTCGATGGTACAACTGGTGGTAATTCGTTACCAGGTGCCCAGTCACTCGCCAACATATTTTGCAAAAATGAATAGTGTGCTCGGTATTTCTTCCATTCCATCGTCTTCGGTGATAGTGATTATCTATTTTAGAGATCAAGCATTAATAAAGGATTCAGATTAGTTCAACTGAAATGTGATCATAATTTTGAAAATGAAATAGGACAATAAGGACACTAAGAATAATTGAAACTGGGATACAGCGTAGTGATTACAAAAATAGTCATTTAGCATCAGATGAAGATGTGTTTTGTAGTGTAAGAGCTGCGAAAGTGATCTGATGTAATTGAGTTTCATTTTATTATAATTAACTGAGTTCCATCACTATCATCGATTCTTTTATTTGGAGAAAGGAATTAATATGTTCTTAAAATAACGGTGATATTTAGCAGTTAATCGGTGCTTTTTATCATTTCATTTGCATGGTATTCGAATAGTAACAGTTGTTTTAATTCTGTTTAAGGTCTTCAAGTATTATCGTTCATAGTTTTGTTCTTGTTTTTCATTTGTGTTACTCGTTTCACCAGTTCGACAAATCAGATAATGCAGTTGTTGCTTTTCACTATGAGCCAAGCTGTAGGTAAAACATGCATGTCCAGAGAACCTTAGCACTTTCATCAGTTTCTTGCATTAGAATAATTTAATTTATAATGTCTTTTTAATTTGTGATTGTGTTATGCACAATCTCACCTCCAACAAAAATGAATTTTCATTATTGTTTACTATTAATTGCGGTTATTGTCATTCAAAAAAAAGAGCATGTGCAATTGTGTCTTTGCTGGGCTACATAGTTAGTGATGTTTGAGAATTGAAATATAGAATATTTTGTCGATAGCTTCTCCGGTGAATTCCTATGTTTTGCCTCATATTTTTGGATCTGGAATTTGTTTCAAATGATGTTGTTGGTGGGAATATTGGATATTTTTGTTGTACTATTAGTTTAGGTATCAATACCAATATTTCAAAACTACTCTGTTACCTTCTTTTGATATTATAGAACCATGGATTGCAAGATTACCTAATAGACGAGAAGTCAAAAATAGGGGATTGACAAATGATGTAGTTAGTAGTATTTGTAAGTCAAACTAAAAGATGTCGGACATGATAATGAAATGATTCACTGTACATCAAAAAGTTTGTGGTCTGGAATGTAGTTTTATATAAACGGTGATGGTAGGAGGCGGTAAATGACTCTTTCTGTGCTCAGCGCTCATAGCATTTTGCTTTATATTTTTAAGCTTTATAACTTGAATAAAAATAAATAGTGTCTTGTTTGTGTCGTTTCGTCATAATAGATTCACTAAATATTTGGTGCCCAACTAGTTTTTTTGTCGTTTGTTTTTGGTTATACTTCTTACGTCGCAATCTTGCAGACAGCGTCTGTACAGTAAATTTGGTTGAAAGTTTGATTTCCAGTCGTATAAAGGTAGTGGGTGGTGTGTTTAATTGTAAGTAAAGCATTTGCTTGTTCAGAGTTCTGGTTGCGAAGGGTGTCATTAATTATTTATGAAAGGGAGGTGAAGGTGGCATATTATGAAGTGCAGAAATAAGAGATATTTTGGACAGTTTTTGAGAGCGTTTTGATTTCCTGTTGCTCAGTAAATCCATGATCCTTGGGAGAAGGGATTACAGACTTGATAATAGTTGTATTCGGTTACATTGTGTGCAAGACATTGAACAATTGTGAAAAACTTGCGATAATTTCCGAACAAGCAGCAATCTCCGTGATCCAAATTGTCATGCATCGTGCTACAGAGTACTCAAGGCAATAAACTCTCAGAAAAATGTGGATTAAGTATAGTAGTCTGGTGTTTCACAGGTATCAAGAGGGATTAGATTTGATTTATTAGCTGACTAGCAATTATTTCATGAAATAACCAGTAACTGGAGAGCAAATTCAAAGTTTGTATTATTCGATGAAGATCTAATGGTAATGGATAAACTAATTGATCTGCATCCTATAATATGTCTGTAATGCAAAAGGAAAAAAGGACTCAGTAAATGTCAACTGCATGTATTGGCTTTAGTCAAGGGATATTTACACCAAAGATTAAAGGTAAGAAAAGAGAATGTTAGAAGTTTTGGATTCCTGTACTGCGCTCACATTCCAAATGAATTTTCATCATTGCTGCTCTCTTGAGCACTTGTCAAGTATTATTCATGATCATGATTAACAATGCCTTGTGTTAATGAGGAATTTCAGGCTTTAAACGTAAATACCTGATGTTTTGTAGAATTACTCATCAGGATATGTTGTTCGATAATTAATTTCGATGTAAACTTACACCTCTGGAAGTATGTACATGAGAGTTGGAGTAGGATATGTGTCATTATTTATGAATAACTTAATAAGTTTTAATAAAAACAGAATGAAGATATGTAAACTTAAATAGATTGCATTACAGTCAATGTAGTTATCATTTCATCACATCACTGTACCCCCATATTTTCTAAAGAGGAAATTTAGTTCTTGACTTTATAGACGTGTAATAAAGAATGAAGTCATCCTGTACAAGTAAATAGGCTGACAACTTCTAAGATGGCTCGGAAGTGCAGAAATCAGATTCCCGACTACACCACTAAGTACACGAACACTTCGTCAAGACATTTCTGTTTATTGTGCACTAATTCCACACCTGAAAAGTTCCACTGCAATCTGGATGTAAGATTTTCTCACGCCACATATGGTCTTTCGTATATTTGAAATATTTGTTTCTACAACGAATTTTGCCGTCCGGTTTTCAAGAACGAAAAATCTTATCCTGGTTGGAAGAGGAAAATAGACTGCGAGCTGTCTGCAGATTAATGAAAAATAGTAGAAGTTTTATCAGGAGCAACACTTTTGACCACCAACAATCAACATTCATACCTTTGTGCCTCAAACAATCCGAAAGTTACGAGAATTAATATAGTTGAATAACAGGTTCAAAGCATATTTGCCATGAAATCGACATTTCTGGTCTAGGTGACGCTGCATTTTGTTTCATATGATAACAGAAGTAATGAAGTGCACAAAAAACTGAGACGTGCGACATGTAATAAAACAAGATTCAAAATGCTTTTTAAGAGAAAGTCAGGAATGAAATAATTGTCGATAATTTTCCATGTTTATAAAATATTTGGTTCTAATTTATCTTTCAAACTGAAAAAAATTCCTCATTTTATGAACCAAAAAACCCTGCCAAAATGGTAAAATATTGAGAGTAAATAATATATTACAGTGAAAACAATTACTACAGCAAAATTTGCACAAAAATATATATCTTAAATAGCGTCAGGAATTATAAATGGAAAATTCTCGAGAATTAATATAAGAAAGATGGTTAAACTAGATAACAGAAGTTCATATCCAAATGTATTTTTGCAAAGTTTGATGCACCACGTCACTTCCATTATTCATTCTGCAGATTGTTTTCACGCAAAGCAAAGTGCTCAGAATTTACGCTTACACAATGTTGTTTACGCTCGTTCATATTGCAAATTCGACATAGTGCTTGATACATTTCTAAACCACCAATCATTTCCTGCTGTAAATGAGAACTATTAAACACATTTTCCTTAAAAAAGAAAACGCATTAATCTCGAAAAAAGATAAGTTTTGATGAAGCCAGATAGACTTTATTAAACTTTTAAAGATTGCCTTCTGATTTGAAATTATTCGGTGAGTAAATGAAGCATCGTTACCACAACCTATGCATACTGCTTTTAGTTTCACGATTTCTTCAGCTAATGAGCAAATACTGAGTATATTATTTTGAAATTCCTGAAATGGAAAGCAGTACACAACATTTGAAGGATCTGTATTACGTACACTTTTCAGCCGAATATTAAAATAAAAGTTTTAAAATGCTCAATTAAGGAATACCTTTCTGTTGAAATCTCCATCAAGAGAAGATATAACAACTACTTTGCCGAGATTGGCAAGAATATCAGAGTAGTACACAATATCAGGAAACTGAAATATTTTAATCAATGAACTAAAGTGTAGACTCAGTTTTCGTTCTGAAATTCATTTAGCAAGCCATCATTCAGGACGTATTCAAGGAAAATTTTTAATTAAAACCTATATAGATTTCCTGAAAAAACAGCGTTTCAGACATAAAATAACTCCCCAATACACAAGACATAAATTTTGTTATCAAAAAGAAAGAACTAAGTAACTTTTGAGAGTGGAAATTTCTAATTTTGTGGATATAAATTGCTATATTTCTTGTGAAGAAATTTGACATTAAAAGCTTTGAAAGTAGATAAATTTGAGAAGTTGTGATACAAGAACTGATAACATACGAATTGCCCTTCATCGATCAGAATAATCTCGTACTTCTTTAAGATTTCAAAAATTTCTCCAACTGTACGAGCAATCGTAGCATCTTGCATCTGCCAACTGAAATATTTCTACTATCAAAAATATTGAAAATCCAGAATTACATTATAGGCTGTAATGTCATTTTTAGTAATAAGACTGGCCAAAGATTACTCGTGAGTGACAACTTTTTGCAAGTCATAGCGTGTGTCTCCTGAGTACTTTACAACCATACAGGTGCGATTTGCCAAGGCATAACGATTTCGACGACGAATCAATTCCGTTCTAAAAATCTAAGCAGAATTCTCAAAAAAGTAGAGATATTGATTTAATGCTGCAAACAATCAAAGATTACTGTGAACAAAAACCCTTTAACTGTGAATTTACAATACAGCGAATCAGAATGGTTAAGTAGTATTAATGCATTCAGGAGAAATGCGTGAGAAAATCAAGCAACGTAAAGCGAGGACTACATGCACATACTGTTCTTAACTACGATTCAGCACATGGGTAATCTGATGAGTAGGCCAACAATACATCACAAGTGAGTGCTGATTTTAATTCATAAACAAACACGTAGATGGAGTTAAAATTCACGAAGAAAATTAAAAAAGCTTGGTTTGAATTTGATGCTATCAATCTTGCTAGTGAAAACTAACATGGGGAATAAACAGATCTAAACTCAGCCAATCTGTTGCTACTGTTGGTACACTAAATGTATTCTTTTCGTTTCGATAGGAATAATGAATGTTGTAAGTAGTAGTATAGCAAGATCTATTCGCTTTGGATTGTGATGAAATTTCAATTTCAAAAATCGATTTGTTTGGTAAAATGCACCGCTAGCGAATAGCTAGAAATCAGGTGTTCTAACAATGTACTTTTCCAAATAGATGCGTGAAGGACAACACATTTTTCTTCATAGTAACACAAGTTACTATCATTTTAATTCATTTTGAACGTAGAAATTAATGAGTGGCGAAATTCAGCCTTACAATAATTACAGCTTCTCATAGTAATGTTGAATACGTTCTGTTTGAAACCGGTGCTATAATAGAACGAAAATTGCGGTGCAGAATGAAATGGAAATAAAATTCTAAACATACGTCTTGCCGGAAAACATTGGTCCCAATATGAGCTCGACTTTACCATCGTAAGATGAGGTATCATCAGAATCATTTTTTGAGCATCGTTTCTAAAATAGTCAAAGCTATAGCATTTCTACTATATGACAATTAAAGTTCTCTGTCATGACAAAAGATTGGTAATACTTGATAAGAAAATAAACCTTTTGTAGCAAGAAATAACACCGGCGACAAACAGCTGCCTTCTTCAAAGCAACTTCAGTATTTTGCTGAAAGCGAATAAACTTATGAAAAAGAAAAAAGTGAACAATCTCCATATTTAGTTAAGAAATTTAAATTAACAGTGGCAGTAACGAAAAAAAAAGTATTTTTATAATGAGGAGAATAGAATCTCCTAAATATAAAAGACCCAAGCTGCATTATGGATAAAACCTAGAAAACATTGGTAAACCATAGGTGAGATTTCGTTGAAAAAACCCAGTTGAAATCTTATACCAGAAAAATTAGTGTAATGACAATAAAAAACTAGTTTGCAGTCGTCAAATTAGTATTTTCCATTTCAATATATAGCTCAATATTAACCAAACACCATTGAAATGCAATTTTGAACCTGTTGCTCATCGGTGAACTGAAAAGAAAACGACGCATCGTCCCCACAGTTAACACATACTGAACTCAATTTACATAAATCGTCACATCGTGGCAGTAATTCCATCACCGAGTCAAATCGCTGAAAAACTATGATGCAAACTAAAATAACCAATTCCGAATTACATGGCATGTAATAAACTATCACAAATTTTTATCTTGAACAGAGCAAAAATATGACAAAAATTTATGCACTCCATGAAAAATTTAAAAAAAAAATCACTTTTCTCATTAAGTCGCCATTCAGAGTTGCAACCAATACAATTTTACCCAAATCTGCCAAAAAATCGGAAGATTCCACAATATCTTCAAACTGAAAAAGCTTGTGAAATTCCACTTGAAGATATTAAAATAATGATAGAGAACTGATATTACTTACATAATGACCATCATCAATTGCAATTACATCAACACATTGAAGTTGCTGAAGCGCATCATCGATTTTCATTAAGGTCAAGATTTTCTTATAACCGCCACCTAATTCTACTTGACAACTGAAATTCGTGTTTGTACATTTTAAGCATTTGTAGTTAGCATGCTGTTGTACTTTAACCATGAAAACTGATGAAATATACGCAAAACTGTTATGTTTAAACTAAACTGCTTGCCATATATACAAAAAAGCATTTAAATTTGACCTTTTGTAAACCCTATCATGATATTCCGAAGTAATCCGACTTTTGTGTAAGATAACACAGCAGCTGCGATTTGCAAGCATATGCCGTTCCACACGCCGCAACAACTCAGTGCTGAAAGTAATTTTAATATACATAACCTCGAACTCAACGTTTTGTTTACATTTAGAACAAAGAATGTAAATAAGGCTACGATAACAAACTATTTTTTCTGCAATTCGATAGCGTCTTAAAAATTCAGTTGAAATCATATCTTTCTTATTCATTTCTCATGAAAAACTTGATATCTTATCTTACTCCCATTTCTTTTCAAGAAAATTTTAAAAAAAGTAAAACTGTATACAAATCAAATACAAAAACACAAACGTCTTTCCAGAGAATACTGGACCGATAATAAGCTGTAAACTGCCTCGAATATTTTCAGACTTTTTCATGATATTGCTAGAGACCAATGAAATACCCGCAAATATGCTGAAATATTAGATATTATAGCGAACAAGCGTTTCAAGTTAAATGAGTTTATTATGTAAAACCACAGCTGCGGTATAATACGAATAGATACTTTGTCTATTACTTGTTATGACAAAATTATCTGGAATGATAATTTTAGTACCGGTAAAGATGATTTATACAAATGTATTCTTTATGACAATACATCACGGAAAATTTTGGCATTTCTGAAAAACAGAAACTGGAAAGGTCATATTTGGGATGCAACTACGCCTAAAAGATGTGTAATGCACGCACAAGAATTGGCTGTGGCATTAAATAAGCAATCTCAAATACTCTAATGTTGCATTCACCAAATAAAACAATCAACCACACAAAAACTCAAAAAACTCTGTATAATTTCAATGCGCATCATAAAAACACTAGCTAATTTTATAAT